CTTTTTTTTTTTTTTTTTTTTTTACTGCTGAATAATATTCCATTATCTGGATATACCACAGTATATCCATTCACCTACTGAAGTACATCTTGGTTGCTTCCAAGTTTTGGCGATTATGAATAACAGCTTTCATTTTTAATTCTAAGCTTTTGCTCATTTCTGGTGCTTACAGAAGATGAAAAGAACTATAACTATGACAATAAGTTTCTTTGTAAATGATGTTAGCATCCTCTCTGAATGGTCAAAGTCACTCCATCCTAGACTGCTCTAGGCAAAGGAGAAATTTAATTTTAAAATCTCTGCAGCCTTCCATTAAAGACTAGTGTACAAAGATCATTAAAAATAAATGTCATTAGGGAAAACACAAATACACACATACCCAAAACACAAGGCAGAAAACAAGTCAAAAATAGTTTCAGGAACAAAACTAGCAATGGAGAAGAGGCAGCTCTAATTTGGGCTTTAGATATGGAAGAGGAATAGGAGCAGCTGCTGCTCTTTTTCAGAGAAACATCTCATTTCCTCAGCAATTTGGATTTTTAGGAGAGGGTCAGACAAACATAACAGTTACCACGCAGAAGCAAAATGAAGAAAGTGAGGGGATAGATTATGAAGTACTGGCTCCACTGTCATCTAATCCTGACAAAGAACTCAATTTTCTATGCCTCCATTTATTCACCTAAAACAAACAATTCTCTCTCCTAATGCATAAATGCACAGAGCACCTTGAGCCCTGTGGGGAAAATGCAGAGGTGCTATAAAAATGATTGATAATGGCAGCAGGAAAAAAAAAGTTTTGACACCAGAGCAAGGCAGCACACAAAGCTATATGAAACAAATTTACCAAATTCTGCCTTAAAATTTGCAGTTTTTAGTGAGCTGGTATGTTCCAGGAAAAAGGGAAAAACAATTACAGATCAAACCAACGGATTCCTCTGAAGAATATCTCAAACTAGCTTCCGCTGGCTAAATGAATATCCCACCCACAGCTCCAAATCCAACTCCTCCTATGATGTTAGCCAATATCACCAGCTTCCAGAGTCTCAGCTATTATGTACATACAAAAGAAAAATTCCTCTATGCCAACTTGACACAAAAAAGTGTCTCTGATATAAGCAGATGTTCAGGCACAAGCTTAACACATACGGATACACATTCTAGCCATGACCTTCACATTCAGTCCTCATTCTAGCCTTCCACTAATTCAACCCCTAAAGCAAGAACTTTCTTAAGGCCAGAATCTGGACCTCCTCCTACTCTAAGTTTCTCCTATGTTCCCCCTTTTAGTTTCTATCCCACCTATTACTGCTTGCACCTAGATCCACTGATCAACTCTCAGCCAGATTTTCTGCTTACATCTTTTCATTACACATTCAATAATCTGCCAGTCATTTACTCTGCCCATTACCTGAACCAGATTCCCAATTTCTTGTGGCCTAACAGTAGTTTTCCTCTGAACCTGATCCATAGGATCTCATTCAGCTTCACAACACTGTACCAGAACAGACCAAACAAACTCATATCATCTTTTCCATCTTTGCCCTTCCACTCCCCTCTGGAAAACTTGCTGATGTTCCATTATCATCACAGAATCATGGAACTTGAGAACTGAAAATAACAAACATCATTCAGTTTAAGAGATTAAATGATTTTTTCAAAGCTATATAACTGCAGGCTAGTACTAGAAGGCAGATCCCTTGTCACCCAGGCCTGTTCGCTTTCCAAGAGAAATCCATTCATTATCTCTCAATCTTCATCCTCTTAAGTTTTATATAAATAACCAGTATATCCTTTCCACAAGCCAAAATCATTTCCATCCTTTAACCACTATTTTAAATTCTTCACTTTCTAGACAACTTTTTGTACACTTATCTCTCTAAAAATAAAGGTCTAATAATAATCAGCCTTAAGATTATATTCCCTATATTAACTTATATTTTACTTGTATGCTATGTAAATTAGTGACACCCCTTACTCAATATTGGTATTGACATGTAAGATTTAAGATAATTTTTAAGGGGGGAGAGTTCTGAAAAGTTGAAATCTTGAGTTCTTCCTCACTTTGTGATCCTAGAATAAACTTCCAGAATGGCATATTAAAAAAAAAAAAAAGATAGTTTTTAAGACAATACAATAAATAATGTAGATAATCTATCAACTAGGTAGTCGTTAAACAAACTGTGGTACACCAATGCTATGACACAGATGTCAAGGTTAAAACTGAGGTAGGCCATAGGGACTTCCCTGGCAGTCCATGGTTAATTAGGACTTTGCCTTCCAACGCAGGGGGCATGGGTTCAATCCCTGGTCAGGGAGCTAAGATCCCACATGCCTCTTGGCCAAAAAACCAAAACATAAAAGAGAAGCAATACTGCAACAAATTCAATAAAGACTTTAAAAATGGTCCACATAAAAATAAATAAAATGTTTAAAAAGAAAAAATTAGGTAGGCCTTTTTGGTCTGATGTAGAAAGCTCTCCAAAATACATCATAATGTGAAAAAAGTAAATTGCAGGAACATATGTATATGTAAGTTTATATACACGTACAATTATCCCATGTTGGAGGGAAGACAGTACATGTATATAGTAAGATACATACATATATACAAAAAGGATTGAAAAGGTATTCAAAATTTTTAACAATGGTTATCAATAGCTAGAAAAGTGGCGGGCAGGGGAGGTATACATGAGGGAGCATTTACATTTTGTCCATATACTTCATTATTTGAGTTTTTTTTTAAAACAAAATATATTTGTTTATTATAAGAGCAATAAAAATGAAAAAAGGAAACTGAAATAATTAGTAGCTACAATTCAATAAGTTCCAACCATGGTGCCAGACACTATGCTGAGGTATCAAACACATTTATCAATAATCCTCACAGAAACCAGAAAAAGAGAGAATAAGACTGATTATACCCATAGTGAGGCTGAAGAAACTGAAGTTCAGAAAGGTTATATAGGTCATTACTAGTAGGGCCCAAGTTGAGATTTGATCTAGGTCTGCCTGGATCCAAATAAGATGCTATGCTCTTTCTATGATATCACACAGCTAAAAGGGGATATAATTTACCTATGAGTCTCTGATTCATGTAAAAATGAGCTATGATATGATAGAGTTCTACTATAGCTACCAATATTTTTGTTCAAGAATTATCATTTAATTTTTACATTTCTACACAAAATTGAAGTGAAAACTACATAGGAGCATATCTCTAAGTTGCTAGGAACATGCTTCTTGTGGGGAAGTTGAGTGGCACCCAAGTGAATGGAGAGTGGAAGATCATCCAGTTATTAAAGCCCACATATAATAAGATAACTGAACCCTGCTTTAGAAATGAAGATAGGCGAATAGTATTTTACTGCCGAGAAAGAGACAACAACAAAGAAATAAGGAATTCCCCTAAACTCATCTGTTTCTTATCATAAATACAAAGGAACCATTCTGATGGACCAGAGAGCTGAGCATTATCTAGGACACGTGCAATATTTTCAAAGCCAAGAAATCCAGTTCTGTAAAAAAACTATTGCTATACTTACGAAGCTGGCCGGTCTTGTCTGAGGTCAATGGTGAAGACAACTGCATCTTCACCTGCAGATAGGAACGTACAGGGAGAGTCTGGTTCCAGGGCCAACTGAAGGAGAAAAAAGGGAAAGCATGAGGTTTCTAAAGATTAAAATTAGAGGTTGTCTAACTCATTCCTTTATCTTTACAAAGGGCTGCATTTAAAATGTCTCAGCAAGAGACACATCTGCCTTTTTTGTTTTAAAATCCCTGGAAAGAAGTTAATTTAATAAGCCCATTCTCTCTTGCTCTGTGTGAATTATTCACAGCTTGTTTATTCTATACAAGTCAAAAGGACAGGTGATTTGCTATTTTAATTAAGTCTCCAAGGGATCTGAACAGTGATACCAAAGGAAAACACCGCCATTAGGGCTCATCCTCAAAATCAATTCCACACTCTCAGGTGGGGAGAGAAATGGCATGCAAGTTTCATTCCCTACAGCTTAGTTCTAAAAGTTAGTTATCTAGTGGGTTGGGGGTAGTCTTAAGAATCAAAGAAATAGGTAATTTCTTGAGCAATGGGCGAGGAAAGCATACTCCAGGTCCACCTACATATTTGCTTAGGGTTTGTAAAAAAAAAAAAAAAAAAAGAGGACCATCCTCCTTCCACGGCATGGAAGAAAATAGTGCCTACTCTGAGACTAGGCAGTTCTTGGCTCCTCACTGGCTGCCATCATGATTATTTGGCCTATATTCCCAGCTCTAAATAGGGCTTCCAGAAATAGTACTGTTTATGCACTGAGAGTTGTGAGCAGAAAAGCTGGAGCTCTCACATGAGAAGCCAACAGCTAGCACCTTAGAGCTGTTAAAATGTTCTAAATACAATAGGAGTAAATTTTAAAGGTTTGGAGGGCACAGGAGACCTAAAGGATCTCCAAACCAACCATGGCTCAGCTTAGGAGTTAAGTATTATCAGGTGAATGTTGCATGTGCAAGATCTAGAGATCTCTCAAATACTTGCCTTCTGAGAAGTTTAGTGTGGCTGCTTTTTCTCCCATCTTACCTACAAATCCTAGGACTGAAAGAAGTGATGGAGGTGACCACAACAAAGGGGACACAATGGACAGAGATACTGGAGGGCTTTGGCTGAGATCCACAGAGGAGCTGAACTGCACAACCTTTGGGGCAAGGGCTTACTTACCTTGTGGGATGCTCCCTTGTGCTGGGCCACACGCTTTGTATTCTTGCAGCACTGTGTAGCAGACAACTCTGCTACCCGAACCTGCCCATCACGGGCACACATGGCCAGGGTGGAATCACCACTGTTAGGAAGGAACTTGGCCTGGGATGTTAAGAATAAAAAAAGGGACAAGAGAAATTGAAGAGGTGAATTTGAGAGGGAAAAACATGATGACAACCCCAAATGATTCACTTTTGCTACACAACAGCTGGAAACTTAGACCTCCTGCTCTTATACAGTTGGCTCAAGTCCAATTTCTTCCAAGGGTTAAAGGAGAGGAAAAGAAAAATTTTCTGATATGAGAGGATTTCTGTTGATTCTAGAAGGCTGAACTGGTATGAGTGCTCAGGTGAACTAGGACTATACCCAGTAAGAAAGAAAGGTAAGGGAAAAAGGAGAAAATCTTCCTTGATTCAGGAAGTAAACATAAACTTGCTATAAAGAAAAAGGAAACTAGAGGGAATATCGGGGAAGGAAAGAGAACATGCTTAGGGGTAAGTGGCTAGTACCATATGATGGATGGGGCTGGTAAGTAAAACTTCCAGAGAATAACAATATTAACAATATTTATCAAACGTTTATTAAGTACCAGGCACGGTTCTAACTGCTTAGCTTCTACTGTTATTTAATTCTCATAACCCCGTATGTTATTAGCCCTATACTATAGGTAAATAAACTGAAGACAGAGGTTAAATAAACTTGCCCAAGATCACACAGCTAGTTAAGGGGTTGGACCAAGATTTAAACTCAACTAGACTGGTTTAAGAGCCTCTGCTCTTGTATTATAACGCCTCCTAGCATGGCACTTAGTGCCTTCCTGATGATTTCCAAGCACCCTTCCTATTATAATGAGGCTTCTAACAAGTCTCTGTGCTCAAGGAAACAAAAGGGTGCCATGAGCCTTTCAGTGTATTTAACTCCTCTAAGTCATTATGGGAGCCAAGGAAGGACCGAGTCCTGATACCTAATTCCTACCACAACTCACTATCACTCCTACTCCAGGCAGCAGCTCAGGTTTGTCTAACTCGTGCCTGATTTTCTCAGTTGCCAATCTGCTCCCTCGCCTCACCTGGAAGACATTGCTTTTGTGGCCGCTCTCAAAGTCCAATACTGGCTGTCGCCGTACCCAGTCCCAAACCACCACTTTCAGGTCATCGCTGCCACTGGCCAGCCAGGTGCCGCGCTGGTTAAAGTGCAGGGTATTAACACAACCAGTATGGCCCTCAAGCCCATGCTGCAGGCGGAAACGCTGCACAAAGACTCTTGCCCCACAAGCCTCATACACAAAGCGGGCACTTGAACCCAGCTCCCGCTCCCGAAGGGCAGGAAGGGCTTGCCAGCGAGGTCGGGGCAGGACTGAGGTCTCCGAGGACACCCAGTCCTCCAGGGCCCGCTCATCATCTGATGAGTCCTGGTCACGGTTTGCGCGCTTGCGCTGTACACGACGACGAGGATGCTCTTCTTCCTCATCTTCTTCATCCTCTTCTTCCTCTGAGCGGTCATGGACTTGGTTTTCATCATTGATGGAGTAATGGCCAGTGTCCTCCATGCTGTCAGAGTCCTTGTCTTCACCTGAGCTCTCTGTATCTGTGCCTCGACTTTCTGTGCTGGTGCGGTTGGGGCCACCATCATCCCCGGTCAAGCTCAAGCTCAGGTCTGAGGCCTCCACTTCAATGCCTGAGGATGTCTCCCTCCCCTCCTCAGCACCAGACATCTCCTCTGGACTGCTAGACAGGCTTCCTGCATGTTAGTGAGGAATGGGTAGGTGAGGGGGAAAAATAAGGAGATAAGATAGTGACCAGAAGGATTCCCACTCCTTAGACTAAAAAAATCATCACACCAAAAGACCCAGAAACCAACTTTGGTCAAAATGTTTTCATTACATATGCTTATAAACAGTACCTTCTGAGAGGGAATCTTGAAAAGATTAAAACCAAAGTCACACACAAATAAAGAACTGCAGGACAACCAAAGATTATAATAAATTCTCAAGAAGCAAAGCACTGGCAGATTTTATAAAAGTATGCTGATACAACTACCTTAGGCTCTATTTTGCTAGATGGGCATCCATTAGTTATAGCACATAATTAAGCTGAACGTAAGAAAAAAGAACAGCCATCCCTGGGCTTCCCTGGTGGTACAATGGTTAAGAATCCGCCTGCCAATACAGGGGACACGGGTTCAAGCCCTGGTCCAGGAAGATTCCCACATGCCGCGTAGCAACTAAGCCCTTGTGCCACAACTACTAAGCCTGCGCTCCAGAGCCCGCGAGCCACAACTACCAAGCCCACACGCCGCAACTACTGAAGCCCGTGCACCTAGAGCCCATGCTCCACAACAAGAGAAGCCATCCAATGAGAAGCCCGTGTGCCACAACGAACAGCAGCCCCCGCTTGCCACACCTCGAGAAAAGCCCGCACGCAGCAACAAAGACCCAACGCAGCCATACATAAAAATAAATTAAAAAAGAACAGCCATCCCCAGCAAGAGTTGGACTATTTACGACTTCGAGAAAGCACCACTACCTCCCACCTCTTAAACCCTAGTTTCTTCCCCCAAGGTTTTAAAATCCACTAAGAATCCAGAAAGAAGTGCAAGGGACAAGTGGAAATTGTGACCATTTGAGTGGCTTCTTGCTCTCTTTTTTGCTGATAAATGTAGTCTGCCTTACTTCCGTTAATTTAATAATCGTAATACTAGTTTTAGATATAGGAATTCTAGTGAGACAAAGTTTTATCAGGAAGCATAAATAAAATTGATAAAAAGCAGGGCTACTAGCAGGACCTGAAAAGAAAAGTTCATATTCTAGGTCTGCCATATTGGTAGTTATAAAATAACTGGGTCACTTTGAGCAATATAATCCCCAAAATTAGATACTGAATTCTCCTATCTAACAGCCAAATCATATTCTAGTGAGCACTTTGGCAATTTTCTAGGGCCAAAAGGACCACAACTTCCAAACTAAGGTCAAGATGTAAAGAAAGGAAGGGGGTGAATGAGGATTTTAAACCTGCTCATGGCCTCCTTTCCTCAGATGACAATAAATTTTATCTTGCCAGAAGTAAAGGCTATTAGGTAGGAAAGGCTGACCAGCTATGTATGACTGGTATAAGCTATTCAACTCCAATACCACATTGATGTTTAAGGATTCAAAATGGGAATATCTTCTTGCTTAGTCATCTGGATTAGAGCAGTAATTTCTGAAGATCTTTGAAGCAATGGAACCTCTTTTCAATGAACTCTTAGGCAAAGCCCAATAAAGAAAACAGATAAACAATACACACACTTTTGGTTCAAGTAGTGACAGAAGGTTGGGAGACACACAAACAGCTCTTTTCAAAAAGCACCTCAACTAAGAGCACAGTGTGAAAACAACTAGGAACTGGAAGAAAAAGGGGAAAAGTGCAGCAATTTGCTCCCAGGAACTACATTTGCTGAGGCTGCTGTATATGCTGAGAAAGATTAATAATTGTGGTTTTTGAAATAAAATTGAGTTTGAGATTGGGAGTGGTGAGAAGGGATAAAATATCACACCCATCACTTCTGTGAAGAAGAAAAAAAAATGAAACATCAAAACTCCTAGCATTTATTGTTAAAATTAAGATGACTTTGGGGGCCTTACCACATTAAGATAAGGGCCAGAGCATATCACAAGCTCAGCAAGAGGACACTAATAGTCAATGACCAAGATAATAGCTAGGGGTTGGCAAATTTTTTCTGTAAAGGGCCAGATAATAAAAAGTTTAGGCTTCTAAACTTTGGACCATATGGATGTATGGCACAACTACTCAACTCCACTGCTATAGCACAAAAGTAACCATAAATACTATGTAAATAAATGCAGCATGACTGAGTTCCAGTAAACTACAAAAACAGCAGCCCGCAGGCCTGTGGATTTAGCCTGCAGGCCATAATTTGCCAATCCCTGATCTAGCTAATGGCCAAACTCCAAATCAATTGTATACCTCCAACCCCTCTAGAATCCTGTGCCTTTCAACTAAGCCCAGTGAAAAATCTGAATCACTCTCCTTTACAGAAGATAAATGACCACCAGTGGTAAGAAAAGAACAAAGGGGCAGTAAAACAGCATGCTGAAAATCTCCCTTTCTCTTACTCACTTCATTGCTCTACCAAACACGTCAACTAGAATTTAGACGATAATCTTAACCTACAAGGGGCTGAGGAATGCTGAACACTATACTGCCCAACAATATCCATTTGAAGGACCTTCTCTAGTTTGGAAGTTGGCTCAGAGTGGATGCACTGGTCAAATAACCCAGGTAGTAGCTATACTCTACCAGAATCATGATATTCTGCCTTCAAATTTGCCGTAGACCCAGTGATTTAATACTTGGTAGCACTGGTGGAAGGAAGGAAAGGAAGCAGGGAGGGAGGGAGGGAGGGAGGGAGGGAGGGAAAGAAAGAAAGAAAGGAAAGGAAAAAAAGGAAGAAAGAGAAGAAAAAGAAAGAAAAAAAGCCCCAATTGCAGCTATTTATAACTTCATCTCTTATCCAATATCTCTACTGAACTATGATCTACCATGAAAAGAGACCTCTCCTTATAACTGGGGAGCCTTGCCTTCCCAACAACTCCCTTGGTTCCACCACCAATTGGATCTTCTTTTTCTCCTTTATTAACAGCATCTCCTAGGTTTTGTCCACCCTTACAAAATTCTAAACCACTTGACCTCTTAGAGGGACAACTCTATTATTGATCTTCTGAAAACAATCAGATAAAAGCTGAAGGAGCAAAAGTACCAGGTAGTCCAAGGTGTTTCCTACACTCAAAACAACACAGGAAGAGTTCATTTTTTTTTTTTTTTACATCTTTATTGGAGTATAATTGCTTTACAATGGTGCGTTAGTTTCTGCTTTATAACAAAGTGAATCAGTTATACATATACGTATGTTCCCCTATCTCTTCCCTCTTGCGTCTCCCTCCAAGAGTTCATTCTTAGGAAAGATTTCCTTCCCTCCGCTAAAATCCAGGTCTCCACTCTCTTTGCGGGAGGAGGAGAACCTCAGTCGATAGCAAAAATAGCTTCACCTTCATTATGGCCCCTTACCATTAGCTAAGTCTGTTTTGCCATCTGTGCTGCTCCCTTTGCTGGACATCTTGAATGATGTTTACTGCAGCCAGCCTGGATCGAGAAGAGGAAGAAAATGAAACAATTAGGAAACAATCTGGGAAAGATGATAAAAGGCACCAGGAGATTTAACAATGTACAGCCTTTGTCATTTTTACAAAATTGATTTTTTTGTGTGTTCTCAGCAGGGCTTCTCAACTGCTGAAAATTATGCCAGATATTATCCCCCCATGTCTAAATTCCATAAAGAGACATATCTTTGGGAGGCTAACTGCCATCTCTTCTCACTGAGTAATTGGCAGTGATTTTTCAGATGGGAAAGAAGGAACTGAAATAAATCTTGGAACAGCAGGTCTATATCAAGTGACATGTATTGCAAGCAAGCAGAGAGTCTTAACTCAATAGAAAAAGCTAGCTTCAGCACTACCCTCTAAGGCAAAAACCTTCTGTTTTAAATAATCGTATGTATCCACAAACTCTACGAAACACTTGCCTTCACAACATGAAGAGGAAGGTCAGACTCTGAATATCATTTCACACACAGAACAGCAGAGATAGAAGAAATTGAGTTCTTGGGATAACAGCCTGAGCTTTATGGTCATTCAGATGCCTAGCTTCAAACATACAGGCACAGATATTAACTAAGGATTATAAGAAGCAGAGTCAAATTAGAACTTAGGAGTATCCTACCCCTAAAAAAGAACCTAAAAGGTTTTTTCTTCCCTTTTATGACTAGTAAGTCAGTCACCAAGTGCAAAGCTGGAAAAGAAAGTGCAACATTTCCATTAAAACCATCTCAGTCCATTTCATAAAATGGCAAACACTATTTCACCTAGTTCCACCAACTTTTACCAGGTTTGTCTGTTTAGCAAAGCCCTAACTAGGAGTTGGGGTACCTAGCTTTATTCCTTTTATACCACTATAATACAGTCATTATTTTTTCAGGGCCTCACTCCCACCTCAAGCAAAGTCCAAAGAGCAAAGAATAATATTATTCAGACCAGAATTTTGTTAAGCCCTTTCAGTGCCTTGGACAAAAGGCACTGAAAAGACAAAGTATGATTATGACTCCAGTCCTTGTACCCAGGCACACTGGCCTCTAATCTTTCAACAGTCCTTTCATTCCCATAACAATTATCCCAGAAGCAGCCCCATCCTTATCTTTACCCGCTTCTCTCCTCTACAAAAATCCAAGTTGCTTCAAAAAAAAAAATGTTTTTAAGTGTCCCCTGCCAAGAGACAGCTGCCCAAAGCTTGCTCACATTAGGCCAGGGCGGGGGAGTAGAAATAATGCAAGAGCAGGACTGAGGCTGAATTTGAGGGAGGGACACCTAGAAGGGTGATGATGAAAGACAATGCCAACAAAAAACAGATTTGTGAAGCCACATAAAGAAAAACAGTGAAGAGCTGTTTGCAGAGCAGGCTGTTTTCCTCCTCCTACTTCAATGATGTATTTTTGTACAGCACTGCTCACACAACACTTGTTTTTTTCCTCCCAGTAGTCCCTGTTTATATTCTTTAGTAGCTCAGCAATATCTTCTTCCTCACCTAGGGCTTAAATTAATTACATTAATTGCAAAAGTTCTATGAAGCAGGGAAAACAACTGTACTACTTTAAGATTAAAAACTAAGGTCATAGGCATACCTTATGGTCAACTGAGAAGAGAACTGATGTCTTCTCATCTCTAGAATCAAGACTGCCAACCACACCATACTTCCCATCTCACTATTACCCACTCCTAGAGAAGTACTGAGCAGCTCCAGAGACCCTTTCTCAAAACTGAATCTCATCAACTTCTACAGAAGCCCAGACTGTCTGAACTTTAGACTCATAGTGGCTCTAGAAAACACATTTGCTGGGCAGGAGGTGCCAAATGCCTAATGCTTACCTAGCTCTGAGAACCACTTCTCAGAAAAGGAGAGTCATGAGGTTGAACCTATACCCAGAGGTTGTAAAGCTCATCTTCTGGGAAACTGGTTTAAGGTTCTTACAAGAAGCAATCTTTTCTTTGAGGAAAAAAGTTCACAGAATTTATTCCTAAATTCAGAAACAGAACAAAACCTGTGAATGCTTATGTCAACTCTGTTTAATCACTGAGCTGATAGGCAGAGAGCTTCTAAAAGTCACATTTTAGGGGCCACAGAGTTTAGTAAAAGTAATCCTAGGCTGAAAATTGGAAGTCCAGGGTTCTAGTACTAGCTAAGTTATTAACAAACTTTGTGATGTGACCTTGGATGTGCTGCTTAATCTTCTCTGGGCTTCATTTTCTTCTTTTGTAAAACAGTATTAGTAATTCCAGAGATGGTACAGTTAAACAACATTATACGTTAAAACTTCTGCAGAAGGACACTCTTAGAGCAGTGATCTCAAAACTGATTATGAACTTCTATCAGTGAAAACTCTGAGCATGAACCCACATTTAATCAATTCACATTAAATATTAAGCCTGATTTTTCTAGAAAAAACGTAAAATTTCAACATTCCCTCCCTATACACCACTGGATCATCTTCCATATCCCTTGGAGTACATACATTCCCATTTTGGGGGACCACGTCTCTAAAAAGCCAAGAAACTTCGATGACACTGATAAAATACAATTACTTTGGGGATGAGTTGTTATCATATAAATGTCTGTCAAAATGAAGAAACTTAAAATCATCTCAATTCTGGGGTAGAAATTAGAGTAAGTGCCCAAATTAAAGCAGGCTAAGGTGCTATGACTGTGTCCTAGGTCTCAAGTATAGGAGTCACTCTAGAATTTCTTCCTTCACCAAAGAATACCTTATAAATCTGAGGTAGGGACCATATCTGACCCAAACTTAAATTACCTTCTTCACTCTTTAATGCACTCCATTCCCAACAAATCCACTGTTTTTACCTTGATCAATTTCCATGTAAAATCCAGTCCAGAGCAAACCAATCTGAGCTTGGAAGAGGTGATGAGCTCACTGCCCCAGGTAGCTGGGGGAGTTTAATTAGATTAGCTCTACTGCCTGTACTCTAAAAATAACCATAACCCCTGCCAAAGTGAAGGTTAAAGAGTAAACTATTGGAGGATGGGGAAAAAAGACCCAGGTGTCATTTTAATTTCTACCTAAGAAATTCCAGTGACCTAGATTCCTCCTGTCTTAATAAGAAAAAGGCCTTAAATTTTAAACCAAATACATGACAAAATATTAACTAAAACTCAAGCAGAGGGGGAGTTAAAACAGGATGTAAAGAGTACTTTGTGGAAGAGGCACCAAACATCTCTTGTTTAAAACCAATGGGGCTGCTTTCTTATCCTAATATTGATGAAAGATTTATACAAGAAACTAGTACTAGTACTAGTATACTAGTACAACAGGACATCCAAATTTAAAAAAAAAGAAACTTGACTTGGACATTGTACAATATACAAAAAGTAACTAACTCAAAATGGATCATAGACCTAAATGTAAAGGCTAAAATAATACAACTTCCAGAAGAAAAACAAAATAGATAATCTTTGTGACATCAGGTTAGGCAAATATTTCTCTTTTTTTGGCCACACCGTGAAGCATGTGGGATCTTAAGTCCCCTGACCAGGAAACGAACACGCGCCCCCTGCATTGGAAGTACAGAGTCTTAACCACTGGACCGCCAGGGAAGTCCCCTAGGCAAATATTTCTTAAGATAGAATGCAAAAAAGCACACACCATGAAAGAAACAATTAACTAACTAGACGTATCAAAATTAAAAATCTAGTCTTCAAGAGACACTTAAAAAAACGAAAAGACAAGCAATGAACTAGAGGAAAATATCTGCAAAAGACATATTTGAGGGCTTCCCTGGTGGCGCAGTGGTTGAGAGTCCGCCTGCCGATGCAGGGAACACGGGTTTGTGCCCCAGTCCGGGAAGATCCCACATGCCGCTCGGCCGCTGAGCCTGCGTGTCCGGAGCCTGTGCTCCGCAACAGGAGAGGCCACAACAGTGAGAGGCCCGCGTACCACATTAAAAAAAAAAAAAAAAAAAGACATATTTGACAGCAATCGGAATATATTTAAATTCTCTCACAACTAAATAACAATCACTTGAAAAAGATGATGAACATTATTAGTCATTAGGAAAATACAAATTAAAACCACAATGAGAATCCTCTACACACCTATTAGAAGTTAAAATTTTTTAAATAATAATAATGAAAGTTTACTTTATCAAGTGCTAACAAGGAGTAGAGCAACTAATGTCTCACACACTGCTCAGAGAAAGGTAAAATGGTAGTTAGTCACTTTGGAAAACAGTTCGGCAGTTTTTTTTTAATAAAGTTAAACATACACTTACCATACAACCCAGGAATCCTATCCAGGTATGTACTCAAGAAAAATGAAACTACATATCCACCTAAAAATCTAAATGTAAATGTTTTAGTGGCTTTACTTAGATGCATCAAAAACTAAAAACAAGTGGTTTTCAGCCAGGTCATGGATAAAAATTGTGGTCCATCACACAATGAACTACTGACATATACAGCAACATGAATGGATCTCAAATGTGTTATGTTAAGTGAAAGAAGCAAGACTCAAACAGCTACATAATATGTCTCCATTTGTAGGATGTTCCAGAAAAAATAAACTATAGGGACAGAGAGCAAATCAGTCATTTCTGGGATTTGGGGGAAAGGAACTAACTACAAACAGTCATGAGAAAACTTGCTGGAATGATTAAAATGTTCTATGCCTCCATCACGGTGGTGTTATATGACTATGCATTTGTTAGAATCCAAAGAATGGGTCAGTGAAACAAAAGGTAAATTTTACTGTATGTAAATTATCAATCAATCAATCTAGCCAGAAAAGAGAAAGAGAGAGTGGGGGGGGGAGGGGGGAGAGAATCATGCAAAGTGTTAAATGACAGATACAACCCAACAATTAAAAATACTAGATTCTCAAGCCTGTGACTATTAGAAGTTAGCTAACACTGGTCAATAGGCCACAATAAATGAGAGCAAAATGTCTGGTCTTCTTGCTTGAAAATTAAAATGTGGAAGAATTTTTGCTGCAAACAA